TGTTAAGAGCTTCCAGAACTTAATTCAGTGTTAAATGGGTGTAATTTGGGAAACTCATGCATTATTTCTTAATTTCTCAATGCGAGTCTGCACGCATCTGCCGAGGTACGCGTGCGTGGGGACAGATGGACGGTGATGGGAGCTTGCCCCAGCGGGGGGCGGGGAGGGGGCAGGCTGGCAACCTGCAAAGCAAAGGCTCCATTCAGGGCCCAGGTCCGGAAATCCGGGATGGAAGGCATTTGCATTTCCTCTGGCTCCTGCTTTTCTGCTCCAGTGGCCATGGGGCCCGGTGGGGCTGGGGGGTGGGGTGTCTGGAGCCTTTTTTCTAAAGGGAGTAAAAATGCCGCCTGCCGATCCCCCATCCCAGGCAGCCTGGGGGGGGGGGCTCTGAAAAACACCTACCAAGTCTGCATCATGTTCTGAACATCCCTGGCCTTCAAGGACGCCCGTTCACTGTGACCATGGGCTCTGGACTCAGTGTCCCCGTCTGTAACCGGGTACGCGGGCACGTTGCCAGCTCCCTCTCGGGACCCACAGCAGCAGCTCCTCGGGCTGCCCCTCTACTTAGTGTGGCACATGGGCCCCACATGTGCTGGGGTCCCCGTCTTTGTCTGATTCCCCCAACTTTAGGCTATGGAGAATGGGGGCTCCCATACCCAAGACCCTACCAGTCCGTCCCCCCCCCGCCGACAACCTTCGCGTCCTGCAACCTTCGTGTCCTGCATCGCTGACTGGGAAGACAGAGACTCAGAGGGCGAGTGACAGGCCAGGGAGTGGCAAAGTCAGGAGGCCCAGAGAAGGCTTTCCAGAACATTTCCAACCTGGTCACAGTCAAGGGGAAGAGGACGGAGGGGCCTGTCACAAGTGGGCCTAGCTGACACGTGGGGGTGTATGTTAATAGGATCAGGGGAGCCAAAGCAGCCATGGTCCCAGAGAATTATCCATTTCAGTCGCCACACAAACTGACCCCTGGTCATCTCTAGGCAGGGACTCCATGGGGACAGGACTGAGGGGCCTTGGGATCTTTTCTATATTCCTGGTGGGGGTGGGGGGTGGGTATCACACACAGAGAAGGGGTCAAGGAATGTGTGAGCTGGAGGAAGGAAGTCAGGAGGGAAAAAAAGAGAGGGATGGAGAGAGGAGGAGATGGGATTTTCTTCCTGCCTTGCTTTGTGCAGAGTGAGACCAAAACCAACAGAGTAGGGGGGCACCTGCGGTCCCCGGGAAGGTGTGGCCCAGGCCTCTGGTCACCCTCCTTGCTTTTGCTAGCTCCAGGTGTTCAGGACTCCACCCTACAGAAGAGTGTTTAGGACTCAAGGCCCTCCTGTTCTTAGAAGTTGACTATTATTTCAGTAACTTCTAGAAAGAGCAGCTGGGCTGGGAAAAAGCCACTTTTTGCGGGGAGCTGGGGATGGGGCTCTCAGTTCACCCTAGGATCAACGTGAATCTGTGGTGTGACTCAGCTGGGGAGAAGCAAACCAACAGGGGCCGAGTGAATAGAGGGAGCATGTCCCCGAGAAGGGAGGTGACGGCTGCCATCTGAGCATAGGATGGGGCCACGCTCCGGCTCGGTCCAGAGCAGAGTAAACAGAACGATGTCTCGGAAATGAGACTCCAGAGGCCCTGACTGGCAGCGGCTCGAAGGACTGCTGTGGGGCCAGGGCCGGGCTCCGGGAGGAGTAGTGGAGCCGTTGTGAGCAGGATCCCAGCTGGGTTATTCTGGACCCTTCCGAGGTTTTGTCTGCACAGCCACATCCGTAGTGACCAGTCCACACAGATGGCGTGAGGATCAAAGGGGGCGCTGGGGCTCGGAGCCCGCTCAGCGCAACGCCTGGCACGTAGTAGGCCTTCTGCTCCCGCTACAGGTGCCGGCCCACTGCCGCGGAGGTGCCACCCTGCGCACGTGTCAGCAAAGTCGTGTGTTACACGCAGACAGCGGAAGCAGCCGATCTGGTGTCCACTTGCCTCCCTCCCTCCCTCAGAAGCCCCTGGCCCCGGGCACTCCTCTCAGCAGTGTGGCCGGAAGCGGGAGGGCCACTGTCCTAGAGGGCTGGAAACCAGACCCATCTTGTCCTCCCAAACTACCCTTCCCTCTAACCATCCCAACCCCAGGCTCCCCCCTGCCCCCACCCAGGAACCGCACAAGTGTCCCAGCTCCAAACCTACCCACCCTCCCCTCCTCGCTGCCCCACCCCTGCCTCTGAACCCTCCCGCACGCCGGGGGCAGGGGGGGGGGCGTCCAGCTCCCTGGCGCCTGGCCCACATGGCTGCACCATCTGCCGCCTGTCTCCCTCGTCCTGCAGCCCTCCCCGCCCCCCAATCTGCATCATCGCCCACCGAGGGTCTCTGTCCAGAACACCTTCTGCTCCTCCCTTCTGGCTGATTCAGGCCTGCCTTCTGGACCAGGCTCCCCTGGCAGCCCTCCTGCCCCGGGTCTCTGGGGCAGGTGCTCCCCACCTGCGCCCCCACCACCTGGGCTGCCCCCAGGCGGGGCCCTAACCCCTTAGCTCCTCAGGGACTGTGTCCTCAAGAGCTGCCAAGGGCAGAGCTGATGCCCTTCCGCAGCAGCCACGGGGGCTCGCTGGGCGGTCTGCGTGAAGCAATGAGTGGATGGACGATGGGAGGACCGGGGAGTGGCTCTCCGGGTCTGGGGGGGCGCAGGCCTCCCTCCCCCTCTTTTCTCACCTGCCAAAGTCTGAGCAGCACTGGCCCTGCCCCCACCCCTCCCATCCATTGGACAGGCTTCAGGCTGGGTGGCCCAGGATTGGGGGTGGGACACACACTCACCCTCGCACAAATACATGGACACACACACCACAGATGCTCACACTCACACATTCACGCCACAACGTCTGCACACACGCCACGGCTGCTACAAACTTTCACAGCACACACTCTCACATGTTCACATTCTCGCACACATTTACACACTCTCTCTCACACACATATACCCGCAGCTCCAAGCCAAACGGCTTCTCCTCACCTCCCCGACAGTCCCAGTCCCGTTGCTCCCAGATGCCTGAGACAGAGCCAGGAACTCAGCGTGACAGTGACATTAAAGAAATTGGCAAACCCCCTACCCGGGGCTTTCACCTTGAGCCCCCCCACCCCACCCCCCACCCCACCCCCGCCGTGTACGCACAGGAGCCACCTGGCCAACAGGAGCCACCTGGCCAACGGAGAACTTTCTGGCCACCTCCCGCTCCAAACCTCAAACGCAGGTCAGGCCGGGCGTGGCAAACGGCCTCCCTGGAGAGATGGATTGCTTGCAGGGAGGTGTCCTACCCTGAGCAGTGACAGATTCAGGGGCTAGGGGGAGGGGACCCCACAATTCTGGACAACCCTGATCAGCATGGGGCTTGTCCTGAGCTGGCACCAGGGACCCAGGGTTTATTCTCATTCTGGTTCAAAAGCCATTTCCAACCATATCCCGAAGACTGCCTGTCGGTGCAATGTTCCACTGGGCCACACGCTTCCTGGTCACGGTCAGACCAACTGACAGGTGAAGAAACAAGGGATGATGGAGGGGAACCCTCCCCCCAAGTCTGGCTCCAAATGGGGCCTAGCTTGCTGGCTCAACAACATTTCAATCACAGCTCAGCGGGAGGTTCACAAGACACCAGTGACTAAAGCCATCCTAGCTACACGGGGGGTGGGGGGGTGGGGGGGGTGTCAAGGCCCTCATTCTATGGACGAGGGGACTGAGGCCCAGAGAAGGACAGGAAGCCACCTGGGGTCACACAGCCAACAGCACACCATCAGAACAGACAGGGCCTTCTCAGTGCAACCTTCAGAGGTGGCAAAGGCTCCCGTGCCACTCTACAGATGGGGAAACAGAGGCTCTGAGGGGTCAAGCACCCCCCCCCAAGGTCACCCTAGCCAGGGAAGAGCAGGGCTCCAGGCCACCCGCTATGATTCCGGGTGCAAGGCACTTTCTGCTCCTCCCATCCAGGTCTGGGGTTCCTGGGGCAGGAGCAGTCACTAAGCGCAGGGATCAGAGAGGCCCAGAGAGGCAGGGGGGACACACAGAGGTACACAGACAGACTCCCACGGCAGATTATGTAACTCGCCGTCCCTGGCCCCACCGGCCCCACCGGCCCCACCGCCCCCTCCCCCCCCCCGCGGCGCACAGCCACCCAGCGGGCCTGGCCCACCCGCCGGCACTGGCTCTTTCTCCAAAGAGAGGACAGCTGGAGGCGCCAGGACGCGCTGGCATTTCCTCCTCCATTCTTCTTCCTCTGGCTGACTAACAAATACTAATACTAATAATGATAATAATAATTAGAATAAATATAACCTGAAGAGGCTTGGGGTCCCGTTGCCATGGCAACCGCTGGCGCTAATGAGCTTCGGAGGCCGCCGCCCGGCCGCCCGGCCCCAGGCGCGGGATCAATACGGACTCGGGCCCCGGGAAGCGGCGGCGGCTCCAGCGGGGCCACGCGGCAGGCGGGGAGCCAGGGGCGCGCTCTTGGAGAGGTCTTCCCGGGGGCCCGCGCCGCCCCGCGGGGGCCCCGGAACCGGCCGGGTGCCCCGCGTGCCTCCGGAACTCTGTCCGGCGCGCTCGGGGCTCCCGGCTCTGCGCTCCGGGACGCGGTGCCCAGCTCGGGCGCGCGTCCTGGCCCCAACTGCCGCGACCCGGCACGACGCGCTCCGGACCGCTCCTCGCACCCGCGCCCCGTGCTCCCTCCTCCCCGGGGTTCAGCGAGCCCGACCTCGAGGAGGAGCCGGGGCGCCCGCGACCCCCCCTCCCCCGGCTCCCGCCCCCGACTCTCCGCCGGGCGGCCCCGGCCCCGCTCCGAGGCCCGCCGGACCCCCGGCACCGAGCGCGCCTCTCCCGGCGCGCCCACCGCTCCCGGCCCGCGCGCCCGCACCCCTGCCCCCGCGCCCCCGCCGCCGGCCCCTCCCCCGCCGGAGCCCCGCCCGGCCCCTGTGCCCGGGGCGCGGACCCGGCCCGCCGCGCCCCTCCCCCGCCCGGCCCGCCCGCCCGGGGCGCCGCTCACCTCGTGCCCGCCGCGCGCTCGCTCCTCGCTCCGCCGCCGGGAGCCGGCGCCCGCGGGGTGAGCCGCCTGCCGGGGCGCGGGGCCGCCCACGCCCCCGGAGCCCCCCCGCCGCCGCCGCCGCCGCCGCCGCCGCAACAGTTGTCCCGGCCCCGGGGGCTGCGGGGACTCGGCGGCCGGGGGCTCGGGGCTCGGGGCTCCTGGGCGCGCGGGGCGCGGCGCGGCCGCGGGGCTGGGGCTGGGGCTGGGGCTGGGGCTGGGGCTGGGGCTGCGGCTGGACTCCGGCCGGCGCCCCCGCCCCGCCCCCCGCCCGCCGCCCGCCCGCCGGACCCCGCGGCTACTGGGCGGCCCGCGCCTGCCGCCCGCCCGCCGGCCCCGCGCCCCGCGCCGCGCCCGCCGCCGCCGCCGCCGCCGCCGCCGCCGCGCTCATGCCCGCCGGCCCCGCGCCCGCCGCCGCCACTTCACTCTTTGCGCCGCTCCGCGCCCTCTGCTGCCCCCTCCCGCCGCGCTCCCCGCCGTCCTGCCCTCGCCGCCGCGCTCCCCCGCGGCCGCCGCGCCCGCCCCCTCCTCCTCCCTCGCGCTCCCGGGCTCTCTCCCTCTTTCTTTCGCTCCCTCCCGCTCTGCCTCCTCCCTCCTTCCTCCCTCCGGCGCGCTCTCCCTCTTCCTCTCCTCCTCCTCCTCTCGCTTTTTCTTTCGCAGTCTTTCCTCTTCCTTCCTTTTGTGGCTCGTTCTTTCTTCTCACTATCGTCTGTCCTTCCCTCCCTTCTCTCCTTCCTCCCTGCGTCCTTTCTACTTTTTCCTCCGCTTCTCTCCTCCCTCCTGCCGCGTCTCTCTGCGCCCCCCCCCCCCCCCCCCGTCTCCATCCTCGGCTCCCCAGCCTCCCCCCCCATCACCTGCCTCCTCCCGGGTGCTCCCCCTACTCCTGTTGCCTCTGGTAACACAGACCCCCTTCTGGCAGGTGGGCCCCGTCCTGGCAGATGGCCTGGCGCCCGCAGGTTGCTTCCCTGGGCTGTTCTTGTCAAGGGAGGCATTCCTTCCTGCCAGACCAGGCACCCGGTGGTCAGGGTCAGGCCCAGGTGGTCAGTGGCAGGATCAGGCCCAGGTGGTCAGTGGCAGGGTCAGGCCCAGGTGGTCAGGGTCAGGCCCAGGTGGTCAGTGGCAGGGTCAGGCCCAGGTGGTCAGTGGCAGGGTCAGGCCCAGGTGGTCAGGGCCAGGCCCAGGTGGTGAGTGGCAAGATCAGGCTGGGGCAGGAAGATCCATCTCATCAGAGAGGATGCTCTGTTCAGTTTCTAATGGGAAAACCCAACTTCCCTGACCACTGTGACCCCTGCAACCACTGCACAGGCTCCCCTCTCCTGTTCCAGTCTTTGTCTCCACCTGTCATCCCCAGCAACCCCTCCTTCCTATTGGCCTCCCATTCTACTCCTCCCCTGTACCCCACAGGTGTGCTACACCCTGCATGGCCTCGAGTCAGAGAGCCAACCTCAGTAAGCCGGTCTCCCCCACTTTCCTCTGTCCCAGGCCCCCTGACCTCCAGTGGTAGGGAATGAGTGGGGGGGTACATTGCAGGGACCCCGCTGAGGGAGTGGTGTTGAGGATGGCTGTCAGTTGGTCATCTGGGGAGGGAGAGTGCATGTGAGTGCCCCGGAGGGCAAGTGAGTCCCCTCCAGTGCAAACTCCTCTGGCTTCACGTTTACAAATGTTTACAGACATTGATTGAACCTCACCAGAAACCGGCCTGAGCCCTTCCGTGCACTGTGTTTTATTTATTCCTCCCCACAGCACTGGGTGGTGTCCCTCCTGTTTTACAGACGGGGCGAGCGAGAGAGGTTAGGACACCTGCCCTGAGCCACACAGCCCTCAAGAGGCAGGGCAGCCTCCACGTCCCCTGGCTCTCCACCTGGGGCAGTGTTCTTCCCTACTGGGATCACAGCAGCAGTCCCCTCACAGGATCATGTGAGGATTCAATGAGGCAGGATCCGTGACACATTTCTCCTGGCACCTGCAGACCCTCCCGAGAGGAGGCCTGTGATCACCCCATGTTGTGGTGGAAACCAAGGACAAGGAAGGTTAAGAAACAGGCCAAAGTGCTCGTGGGGGAGGTATTCAGGTTTGAGGCATCTGTCCTCTGTAGCCAGAGGCTGTATCCTGGGGGGCACCGAGGCTGTACAGAGTGGGGTATGCGTGTGTTTATGTATGTGTGTGGCATTTGTGTGTATGTGGGGTGTGGTGTGTGTGTGTACAATGTGTGGTGTGTGATGCTTGTGTGTATGTGAGGTGGGTATGATATATGTATGGTGTGGGTGTGTGTGTATGTGGGGTGTGTGTGGTGTTTGTGCATTTGTGTATGTGTGTGAGTCCATGTGTGTGGGATCTGTGTGCCTGTGTGTGGTGTGTTCAGGGTATACCGCAAAGCCTTGTTATTCAGGACGATCCCTTGTCCCCTCTCACGTCACTGAGCAGGGCTCTGGGCCTGTCCCTTGTCTGGTACGAGACACCCAGAGGTGAGATGAGCTCACTGCCCCAAAGAGGCTCACAGCCCAGTCCAGTGATGACTCGGGATGTTAAACCTCCATCGACCCCGATTTTCTGCTTGCTGATCAAACACAAACCCCATCACGCCTTCCTGGCACTGGGGGCCCAGCCCGCCTTCCCAGCCCTGTCTGTAGCCAGACACGCACGGAGGCCGCTAGCCGCTGGGGTTTCCCTAGGAGGCCTCAAACCCACTCCCCACCACTGTGTGCAGTGGGGCTGCCCTCACCTTGCTCCCTGGAGGCCGTGCCTTCCCCTTCCCTACAGTTGGCTCCCCCACCTTGGGCAAAGTGAGGCTGCCTCCCTGAGCCTCAGTTTTCTCATCTGCAAAATAGGGGTGATTTTATCCACTACAAAGTGTCAACATAAAGATTAGATGGGAGAGTATGTCTGGAAAGAAATGTGCACCTGGCACTCGGTTGGTACTCGATCTGCCTCAGTGTCCCTTCTGTTTTTCCAGGAGGTCCCGAGTGGGCAGGGAAAAGCCTGGGCATGTTGGCACTGACCAACTGTGACCCCTGCAACCACTGCACAGGCTCCCCTCTCCTGTTCCAGTCTTTGTCTCCACCTGTCATCCCCAGCAACCCCTCCTTCCTATTGGCCCTTCGGACTTGGCTTGCATCTCTGAATGGCTGTTCCCGGCCGGCCGTGTGACAGAGGGCGAGTACATTCACTCCTCCCAACTGCTGTGCACTGATTTCCGATGGCTGCCACTACCAGTGACCCCAAAATTGGTGACTTAAAACAACACATATTATTCCTTTATAGTTCTGGAGGCCAGGAGGCCAAAAACCAGCGTTACTGGGCTCAAGTCAGGTGTGGGCAGGGCTGCCTCCCTCTGAGACTCGAGGGGAGGACTGGTCCAGGTCTTGGTGGCTGCCAGCTTCCTTGGCTTGTGGCCGTGTCACTCCGGAGCCCTTCAAGGCCAGCATCTGTCTATATCTCTGTGCTCCTCCTTGGGTGGCCTGCTCCTCCGAGGACATCAGAGTGCCCTTTACTGAAGGTCCCCCCTGGGATCGCACTTGGGGGCCTCCAATAATCCAGGATAATCCCCCATCTCAAGAACCTTCCTAAATCACATCTGCAAAGTTCCTTTTTTTTCTTTCTTGCCATATAAGGTAACATCCCCAAGTTCTAGGGGCACAAGAAGGTATCTTTGGGGGTGGGGAGCGTCTTCAGGCTTCGGAGCCCCAGCCAGCAGGCTGTGCATCTGCAGGAGCAGGAGGAGTGGGCTCTGAGGGCCACTGGGGGCTAGGTGAGCTGAGCCTGGACAACAGCATCGGGGTCCCGGACCACAAATATTTGCAGCCCCTCTGGGGGCCGGGCTGGGGGAGGGAGAGGCGAGGACGAGTGTGCAGGTAATTACAGACTCCCCATTTCTGAGCCTACTGTGTGTTGAGCTCCACATGCACTGTCGCCTTTAATACCATCCCTATTTACTATTTCTCTGCCTTCGGGAGGCCTGCTCCCCCGCAAACGCTGCTGCTCACCAGGGCAGGCGGGAGGGAGGCCTGTGGATGACTCACACTCTCTCCGTGGAGAGCAGCCTTTTCAAAGGGCTGGCTGGGGAGGGAGCTAAATTTAAAGCCAGGCCTCCCGAGAAGATCACCTGCCACGTCAAAATCACTGCCATTTAATTAGAAGTTGGGGGCACGAGGCATTCAGCAGCGGTCTGTACAGTAAGCCCCCCTTTGGGGAGGGAGCAAGGTAATTGGCGGCTGAGCATTGGGGGGGGGGTGCCAGCCAGAGTGAGCACCACCAGCTGGCCCCCAGCCTCTACACTGTCTCCCCTCAACCCCCCTCCTTTGGGGAGCAGCCTCTGCCCTCCCAAGGGCCTCTCCTTCATCAAGATCTTAGGCTTCCCACCCCGAGCCCCAATTTCCAGAATTCAAAACAAGAAACTGGGGCTCACAGATGATTGAAATCCCACCCTCAGAGTCACCCATGGAGGATGAGGCCAAGCCAGGATTTGAACTGCTGGCCTGGCTCGGGGCTTCGGTTCTGGGCCATCTGGCCACTTGGCCCCTCCTATGGAGTGGATGGGGGTGACAGGCAGGTCACTCACTGCCTGCAGCCTGTTTCCTTCTCCATCCAAAGGGGCTGAAGCACCCATGCTGCCTCCACCTCTGGATAAAGCACTGTGAAGGGCGGGGGTGGGGGGGAGGGGTGGGCATCAAGTCCACCCCCTCCACTTTATTTTCAGAGGACACAAGCCCCTGGAGGGTGGGAAGAGGCAGCCAGCAGCCAGGCCTCTGCCGTCCAGCCCTGACCCCCCCACCACTGCCCAGGCGGGAGGCCAGTTAGGTCTCATGGCCACCCTGTGACCTTGCTGCTTATGCTCTCCCAATGGGCAAAAAGCTGCAGCCTCCCCGCAGTCGCAGGGCCGGGTCCGGAGGGCAGCCCAGGGACGAAGAGGACTTCGTGCTGAGCCTGCGCTGCCTGTGTGCTCATCTGGAAGGTGTCTTGACTGCTCAGAGCCAGGCACATAGTAGGTGCTCAGTGCATCAAAGCCGCTGCTGTGGTCACTGTCGCTTGGA